TGCTTTATTGATGAGGATGGGGTGAGAGACAGTGTCAAAGGCCTTAAAGTCTAGAAAGACTACGTCCACAGCAACACCATCATCCAAGGATTTAGTTACTTGGTCATAAAAGGCAACCAGGTTGGTCAGGCAGGACCTGCCTTTGGTGAACCCATGCTGATTGTCCCTGAGCATGATCTCCCCTGCAGGCCCCCCACAGATGTGCTCCTTGATGATTCTCTCCAAGATCTTCTCGAGCACCGAGGTGAGGCTTACCAGCCTATAGTTACTTGGGTCCTCTTTCCTCCCTTTCTTGAAAATTGGGACCATGTTAGCCAGTTTCCAATCCCCCGGCACCTGGCCAGATGACCAGGAATGCTCATACAGCTGGGCCAAGGGCTCCGTGATGACCCCTGCCAGCTCCCTCAACACCTTTGGGTGGAGGGCATCTGGACCTGCAGATTTTAAAATGTCCAGCCCTTCCAGAAGTTCCCATGAAGTGCTGGATGGAGCCGTGCCTGTGTTAGGCACAAGAACCCTGGCCTCCCCGCCTGCTGCTACTACCAGGCAGCGGGGGCTGCACGCAATGGGGGCAGGGTCCCTACACCTCCCACCCTCCCTCACACCCCACACCCTGCCCCCACCAACATATACATACACCCCAACATACCCTATGCCCCCTACACAGCCACACCCTCTCACAACCCCCCCGTACCCTCATACACACACACACACAATATAAAAGTGACACTTTATTTTTGAGTTATTGTGTGCTGTATATAGAAGGAATTGCATAATCACAAGTCATGACATATTTTTTGCAATAAAATTAAAATATATTAGCTGTTTGACTGCTAGTGTATGATTTGGGTTTTTTTCTGGTTCTAACATGGCAACCCCTCCTCCCAAAAGGAGTATGGGGGGGCAGCAAGGGGAGGGACTTCTGGTGGCAAAGGTCAGGGGTTAGGGCCAGGACTTCTGGTCCCAATGTGGTGGCCAGGGGGCGGGGCAACTGTCAAGGGGCAGGGCTACCTATGCAGCTCCCCCACTGGTCACCAAAACTTGTTAAGCAGCCCTCTGCCCAAAATAATTGCCCACCCCTGCCCTATCACTTGTCTCCCAAGCGACTCCCAGCAGTCCCCTGGAGATTATATCTAATCCCTGGAGAGTCCAGGACAATCCTGGAGGACTGGCAATTTAAGAGGGGACCATGCCTTCCTGTTGTGAGGGCAGCTCAGCAGGGCCCCTCCAGCTCCCCCATCACAGGCCCAGATTTGAATCTCCTATCCTGTCCCAGATCTCCAAGGAAAGAGGAAGCCAAGGACTGCAGACCTGCCTCCCCACGTCCTCCCAGCCCCATGGGGGATCCTCCCACGAAGTTGTTTCTGGTGGCCCGACTAAGGGAAAACTTCATGCTTCTAGAGGAAGATGGGATGGCTGCCCCCAGCCCAGCCTGGTGCCTCCCCAAGCCTTCGTTGGGAAAGACGGGGGCATCAGGGGCAGTCAAGGCGGTGCTGGAGCTGGCAGCCACTCAGTGCCTAAAACTTCACATCTGGTGTCTGGAGCTGCCGCGCTGGCTGGGGCTCCCCAGCCCAGATGCTAAGTCACTGGCCTGTCTGATCCTCTCAGCACCTCCCCAGTGCTCCTGCCCCACAAATACCAAGAGGCACTGGCTACAGACAGGCATCCCCCACACCCATCAGGATTCCCTTGTGGCCCTGCTTGTCCCACATGCTGCCCCCCATGCATGAGGAGCTGCCATGGCATGCGGAGGACAAGGCTGTGAATATAGAGGAGCCTGGATCTGACCTACAGGATCCACACTGACTGCAGTGCCGGATGCATCCACTTCTCTTCACAAAATTACAAGGTGGGGTCAACGTGAGCTAACAAAGGGGCAGAGGTGAAGGCCCATTTCAGATATTCAAAGGCTTGCTGGGCTTTAATGCACCAATAAAACCGGGGGACTTTCCATAGCACGGTGGAGAGAAGGCTCATCACCCGAGCAAAAGTCACAATACATGTGATACCAGCTTCTAGAGGTGGAACGTGAAGCCAGGCTCTAAATCACCCCCTCCAAAGTCACCTTATCCAGCAGCCTTTTAGGTCTCTGGAATCTAAACCAAGGGGAGAGAAATTAAAGGGGAAGACCTACTAGCTTCATCCCTCCTGGAGGCAATGACATCATCCAATAGGAACTGGAGCCCAACATGGCCATGGCCACGGGTGAGAGTGGAAGCCTGACCTCATGAGCAGGGTCCCAGCTGGACTTTCCCATGTCCCTAGTCAGTTGCTGGATCTGCTGTGGGAGAGAAGCAGCCATTTGGTCTCTCTCTCTGCAGCAAAGGCTGGCTGCATCCCCCCGTGAAGCCTGGTCAATTTTAGTTAAAAGGGTCCTTGGTGGATTTAGGTGCTCCCCCAAACTCCTATTCAGCCCTGCTCAGGGCTCTGAAGACAAGCGCTGATGCATGACAGAAGTGCCTCTTCTGGAGTCCGTCTATCGGTGACTCTGCCCTCCTGTGATGGGCCAACCGCCCACCTTCTCGCCTACCATGCCTTGATCTTAATTAATTAATGGATGTTAATTAGCAGGAAGCTGACCATTTATTGCCCCGGTGCCAGGGGGCGCTATCTGCGGCTCCTTTTCCTCCCCTACACCACAGCCCAAACCTTGCGGATGATACTGACATGGTATGATCTGGGCCTCGTTACAATTTGGCCCTCCCCTTGTCCTCCCTGGGCTTTCCACAAGGCTGTCTGGCTCTGTCTCACTGCCCACCTCTCTGGGGCTGGGGTTCCCACGCTGCGGGTCCCCTATGAGGCTTCCTCCATCCCCTATTAGCCTCACCCAAACCACTGGTACAACAGCAAACACAAAACACAAACCCCTGGGCTATAACAAAATCCAAGCCGCCCCGCTAAAACATCATTCAGCTAAGCATCCTTCAATCCCTACTGGGGGATACTCCACCCCTTAACAGCATCAGGAGCTGGTCGAGCAGTCAGGCCCCTCCCCTTCACTTGTCCCGCAGAGCTCCCTTCCCCCTTGGCAGGGGGGAAACTGCCCTCCTGGCCTCAGGCCTGGGATTTATGCGGGAGCCAGGCCCTGCCCCTTCCGGTCAGCTGACCAGGTGCAGGTGTGGCCAATTCCCTCCTTAACCAGTTGTCCCAGCAACCGCCACCTGAGTTCCTGCCTCTGCTCTGACAGTAGCAGGCACCTTAGTGTCCTGCTACACATACCCTCCTCTTCTCCATAAGAAGGTGTCACAAAAACTAGTGAGAACTGCCTTCGAGAAGCAGGCTTTGAACTCAGGCCTTGTAAAGACGCATCAGGTGACCTTAACTGATCTAAAACAACACTCCCTTCTTGGAAAGGGGAGTTTGAATTTAACTTCCTTTGACACACACTTCCTCACTTACACCCATTGCTCCCCAACCTGTACAGCCCTAGAGATTCAACCAGTAACGGGCACCTTCTGAACATGTCACAGGTTCCCATTCCCTTCCTTCTTCCCATGGCCACCTCCAGCAAGAAGACAAGACAGTCCTCCTGCCAAAAAGCAGAAACTTATTCAAAAGTTCCAAGGTTAAAGTGGAGGTGGCCTTATACACTGGGGGATCGGCAGAGAGGACAATTATGAAGATGAATGAAAGAAAGTGCTCAGCGATGGGCTACTAACCTCTCGGAGTAGCCCCTATAGGACACTCATGAAGCCAAACAGGAGGGAAGCCTAATATTCACCATGAGAGGTTACAACGTGCTGCAGTTCACCCAGGGGATGGCCTCACACTTTCACCACCCATCAACAGGAGAGGCTGGACCTGCCACAGGCTGTACCTCCATCAGCCCTGTTACCCCACTTCCCCTAGAAAAGGGACTCTTCTGACCCCAGCCAGAAGTTCCTCCAGAAGTGCAGGGTTCTTGTTGAACAGCAAAACATAGGAGAAAACCTCGAGTGTGACCAACTCCTGCTCACGAGGGTTAGCAACAACCACTGGATTATGGTGAATCCTCTGGAAAGAAAAGGGTTGGGAAATCAGAGATACCTACCCTGGAATGGGTTTCAGGCCCTGGTCTGTTCCTATCGCGCAGCTCTGGACAGGAAACAGAAACCGTCCACAGGGATAGCATGTTCACTTCTGGTGCTTCCTTAGCAGAGACTCCCTGTTACAGAGAAGGCAGTGAAGTTCCCTTTAGGGAAAGGGGAGCACCAGGCACCCAGTGGTGCAGTGTCCTGGAAAGAGGCTGAAAAGCAATACCTGGCAAATGGAGCTCGGGGGGTGGCATCAGCTCCTTGCAAACACACGATGGGCATGAGCAGGCCTGGGAAAGCGGCTATGGGGTGGGGAGGAAAGGTAAGGTCAGGCTAGAGAGCAGGGAATGCTTCCCCAGCCATAAATATCCTCCTTCCGGCAACTAAGGGCTTCACATACCAGAAACCTGGGACCAGAAGGATGAAGCTAAGAGGTGGCCAGGGACAGTCCCTGGGTATCATTTGGAGCCATGTGTCTTGGGGAAGGCACCCTATTGTGATTGCACTTCTTCTGCCCCTGGGAGCACTGGCAGCTCTTAGAGAATGATAGGGAAGGCACAGGTACTGAGGCTGATGCAAATATCATCTTCTCAGGTTCCTGCAGGGTCTGGACTAGCCTCTGCCTAAGTTGTTTACTCTTAGCCCCATCCCCAGCCCCAATCAAACCTTGGCACCAGCTTCTGGCTCCTTTGCTGAAGTGCCCTACAAGTGCCAAAGGCTTGATGAACTCTTTCTGCACTCTGCCAGCATGATGCTGTTTTCCTGAATGCAGCCACTGGCGGATGCTGAGAAGGCAGACATTCCCAAGCCCTTCTTGCATTGCTGGCAACATTATGGATGCTTCTGGGTGTGGATGCACTGGTGTTAAGCCAGGTAGGAGGACAGGACAAAACCATCCCACATACAGAGTATCAATGTGGCTTCTCCTCTGTGTGGATGCGCTGGTGCAGAGCCAGGCTGGAAGAATAGGTAAAGCTCTTCCCACACTCAAGGCACAGATATGGTTTCTCCCCTGTGTGGATGCGCTGGTGCTGAAACACAGTGTAGGATCGGGTGAAGCTCTTCCCACACACGGAGCATCGATATGGCTTCTTCCGTGTGTGAATACTCTGGTGCCTGGTCAGGTAGGTGGGTGTGCTGAAGCTCTTCCCACACACGGAGCACTCATATGGCTTTTCCCCTGTGTGGATAAGCTGGTGCTCAGCCAGCCTGCAGTACTGGATGAAGCTCTTCCCACATTCAGGGCACCAGTGTGGCTTCTCCCCTGTGTGGAGAAGCTGGTGCAGGCCCAGGCTAGAGGACTGGGTGAAGCTCTTCCCACACACAGGGCATCGATACGGCTTCTCCCCTGTGTGGACGCGTTGGTGGTGGACCAGGTTGCATGATTGGGCAAAGCTCTTCCCACATTCAGAGCACCGATATGGCTTCTCTCCTGTGTGGATGCGCCAGTGTCGGGTCAGGCTGGAGGATCGGGTGAAGCTCTTCCCACAGTCAGGGCACTGACGTGACCGTCTCTGTCTGAAGTGGACCTTTGACATGTGGCTCTCCAGGACTCTCAACTCCACAGTTTCTTCCTTGCACCCAGGGCTCTTTCTGGCTTCTCTCCCTTCTCCACTCTCATACCTAGTTGGAGATGGGACCTGGTTTACCACTACATTATCCAGCGTTTGGAGCCACCATTGACTCTTGTGCCATTGCTTCTGCTCAGGTCGCAGCACATCCATCTCACCCAAACTCCCCGGGGAAGTCAGTACTGGCTCTAGGTTTGCAGAGCCTTCCGCAGGACACTGCACCTCAGTTCTGCTCAGCAGCCAGGCACCTCCTGCATGGGGAAGAGAAACTCCAGATTAGTCCCCGCCCTGCTGGCACAGCCCAAGCACTGCAATTCCTTCTGCTGCAATGGGCCTCAGAGCAGGACTGGACCTTGGCACTAGTGTTTCCTTAACTAAACAAGGTCTTTCTTGAGCTTGAGAGTGCAGGAGGGGCAGGTCCATGGGCCAGGCTCAGTGGATTTCAGAGCCACTCTTGAAGTTCCTGGCCTAGCTGTCAGCCCCATCAACTCAGACCCTGCTGGGAGAAACCCATGTGGGACATGTGCCCGAGGACAGTGCCTGACTGGCTTCATGCTCTAATGGGCTCTGGATGAGACCAGAGGGACCCGCTTAAAGGAAGAGTGAGGCTCTCTAAGGGCTGATCTGTCCCACAGCACTGCTGGGTCCAGGGCAACATGATGCCAAGCACTGCACCTGACTGAGCTGACATGCTCCAGAAGCCAAAGTGCACTGGTGAGACTGCTCTCCAGTGCTCGCCCCGATCTCTGGCAGTCTTGACAGCAGCATCTGGGTACAAGGGAGAACAGTCCCACGGTGGATTTCTGGGACTTTTCAGCAGTCAGAGGGTGAGGGGTGCACTGCCTTACACTGGAACAGCTGCTTCTGCAGCACACACCAGTGCTGCTCCTGCTTGGGAGGAAAAGCCACCATGTTGTATCCCTCCACCCTTCAAGAAATGATCTGGGTGGGTAGGATTGAGAGCTGTGGCTCTCCCTTCTGGAAGAAACATGGCTGTGCTTCCTGCCTGTTTCCAGGGAAAGGTCTGGTGCACTAGGGAATGAGCTCACAGAGCTTTCCTCTGCTGACAAAGCCCAGGCGGCCTCCATGTCAAAGGACAAAGGCCCTGGCATTACACCACATGGGGTCTCAGCTTTGAGTCTCAGGGTTTGTGATGCTCAGCCACAGAGATGAAACAGAATGGGGGCGAGCCTGGTGCAAACCATGGGGTATTCACTTCCCCCCACAGCGTGAAGGCTTATGGGTCCCAACCCAAGTGGGAACAATACCTGACTGGACACGTTACAGCATCAGCTATTTGAGGTCAGCACGTGAAATGGCAGCACAGGACAGGCCTGCAGTTTCCGGGCTACCTCTCACTCTGGCTAGGAAGCATTTCTGAGAGGGGAGTATCAAGGAAGAGACCAGCCACAACTCACCTGGCGGCAGGTCCTCCCACCTTGAGATTTCCCCATGGTGCTCCTCAGCACAGACCCACAGCTCCACCTTTTCTTGCTGGATGCAGCAGATTAAGTCAGGCACGGGACCTCGGTATCCTGTGAGGGGCAGCGGTTAAAGAGTGTTTGTGACTACACACTGGATGGAGAAGCAACAGCTGGGATGTAGTGAATGGATCCAATGAACTCCTGGATTCTACTCAGGCCTTGAAGGACAAGGGAGGTGGACATTTAGGAGGAAAAGGAAGGTGCTGCAGGGAGAAGCCTTCACTAGATGATAGTCATTGTCACCATGACAAGGGTGGGCTGAGGAAACAAAGCACGGGCCACTCCAAGGTCAAAAAAAGGGTATGAAACTGACAGTCACCAGGGACAGGGTGGAGATGCAGTGATCTGTGATAGTAGGCTGTTACTGTTTTCAGGGTACCAAAATTAAGAGTCAATGCACACACTTACAGATGAATAACATTTACCTTATGAGTGTCATTGCAGACAAAGGCATGGAAGTGAGTTTACTCCCAGAGAAGTTTTAAAGTGTGGATGAATTGCAGTGAAAAGAATTCATGATAGATGTCTGACACCGCAATGTTTTCTGGGAGGGAGTGTAATTTAGCATCAACAGGGCATAGGAAAGGATTATTCTACCTTAAGTTCAGGTGTAACTACAGCAGGGATGGGAAAAGTCCGGTCCATGGGCCGGATCCAGTCAGCAGCAGGCTTCATTTCCCAGCTACCCCTGCGCATGGCTGTAGCTGGTCTTCATGGAGACCCCAGCTGCAGTTGCCCCCGGAAAGCTTAAGGCTCAGGCTGCCATGGAGACAAGCTGCAGCTGCACTGGGGCTGCTCTGGAACCACTGGGAACTTGCGATGGAGGCAGCTTGCTCCAGAGCCAGGGCAGAGCTGCGATCTGTAGCCTGCATGCTCTGGGCAGGTGCGTGTCCGCAGGACATTGCAGCTCGGCCCCTGCTCCAGACCAGGCTGTCACTGCTACAAGAAGTCGAGGCAGAACCATGGTCTCCTGCTTGCGTGCCCCTGCCTGAAGTATGCAGGCTACATATCTGCCCTGGCTCCGGTGCAAGCTGCCCCCATCACAAAATCCCAGCAGCTCCGGAGCAGCCCCCCCACCCTGCTCTGCTGCATCATGAAATGCATGATATGTGTGCTGTAGCAGCAGAGGCTGACAAGACTTCCACTAACTTCTGCTGACTCACGGGCAAAGGAGAAAGGGGAAACAAGGGTCAACACTGAACCGAGTACGCTGGGGTTGTTAAGCTGTTTGGACAGGACACACTAGGGAAGATGGGAAGGAAAACAGAAGAATTCCCAAAGGAACAGCTCTCAGTGAATTTGTATGCACAATGAACTGGAGATGATGGACGTTGTCTCCAGCTTCCAACAACTGGAGGTGGTCTCCGGCCCCAAGGCGTGCTGTACCAGGGTCACCACCCCTCCTGGATCTCTGCAACAGGTACAAACCTCTTGCAGCACCAGGAGAGCCTGCAGACCTGCCAGCTACTACAAGCAAGGAAGAAATGCAACCAGCTATCATCCCTAAGATGAAACGCAGAGTGGTTGTTGTGGAAGACTCTCTACTAAGGGGGACAGAGGAAGCGATCTGTTGCCCTGACCCCTGTATCCGGGATGTGGCTGAGTGGATCCCAGAACTTATTCGGCCCTCTGACCACTACCCTGCGCCCCTTATCCACGTGGGCACAAATGACACAGCTCGGAGCAATCCCAGCAGGGTCATGAGTGGCTACAGGGCTCTGGGAGCAGGGCTCAGGGGGTTGAGGGCGCAGGTGATTTTTTCCTCAATCCTTCCAGTTATGGGTCACGAGCTGAGGAGGGAGAGACGAATTGAGGCAGTAAACAGAAGACTGGCGCTGGTACCACCATGAAGGCTTCAACTTCTACGACCACAGTTCACTCTTCAGAGAGAGGCAGTGGTCTGCTGGGAAGAGATTGCCTCCACCGCACTCCACTAGGAAATCTCTTCTCAGCCAGAATGGCTGATCTGCCTGACCGGGCTTTAGATTATGCTCACCGGGGATGGGCAGACAACCACCAGAGCAAGCTCACCAAGCATCAACTACAAAATCAGCAGGTTAGGATGCTCAAGGGAACCCACTCCTACCCCAGCCCAGGAACAGAGCTTCTCCATGAGTACAAGGAAGCCTAGGGCCTCCAAAGGCATACTTACTTGTACATTGCCTGTACACCAATGCCAGGAGTTTGGGGAATAAACAGGAGGAACTGGTCCTTCTGCTAAACAAAAATGGCTATGATCTCATAGGGATAACGGAGACCTGATGGGACTCCTCTTATGACTGGACTACAGGTATAAATGGCTATACTCTGTACAGGAGAGATCATGCTGAAAAAAGGGGCAAGAGTGTAGCTCTCTATGTGAAGGAGAGTTACATGTCTCTACAGGCTGAGATTGGCACCCAAGGAGGACAACAGGAGACCCTCTGGGTTAGAATACGAAGGAAACGTGGTGAAGGAGATACAATGGTAGGAATCTACTACAGACCTCCAAACCAGGAACAAGAGTTTGACCAAGAATTCACCAGAGAACTGACCAAGGCTGCACGCTCCCATTGCATGGTTGTTATGGGAGACTTCAACTACCCAGACTTCTCATGGGAAGTGCACTTGGCCAAATCCAGTTGGTCTCAAAGCTTCCTTACATGCATGGATGAGCTCTACCTGTCTCAAGAAGTTTATGGGCCAACGAGAGGTAAGGTGCTGCTGGACCTGGTACTGGCCAAAGGGGATGATCCAATAAGCAACCTAAGAATCGAAGGGAAGCTGGGTGACAATGACTATGAGTTGATCACTTTCACTATCCACTGCAAAGCTGGCAAGTCAGTCAGCAATGCAACAGTCTTCGACTTTAGGAAAGCCAACTTTCACATAAGCTCAGGAGGCATGTTCTTCAGGCCCTGACAGACCATGATTTCACAGGGAGGGGAGTTCATGATGAATGGTTGCTCCTTAAGGAAGCGACCCTAGAAGCACAAGAGGAGTCCATCCCAACCCATAGGAAAGGTGGTAAAAGGGCTCAAAACCCACCTTGGATCAACAGGGAACTCATGGACCTCCTGCAGCTGATAATAGAGGCCTATGAAGGATGGAAGACAGGAATCACCGCAAAGGAGGGGTATTCTGCACTGGTCCGCACCTGCAGGGAGCAAACTAGGAAAGCCAAGGCTGCAACTGAACTCCAATGCACGAATCAAGGACAATAAAAAGTCCTCCTTCATATAGGTGGGGAGTCGAAAGAAAAACAAGGGCAACACTGGACCCCTGCTAAACTAGTTGGGGCAGCTGACTACCAACACCCAGGAAAAAGCCAATCTGCTTAATGATTACTTTGCGTCGGTTTTTCACCAGCCCGAAGGGACCACCCTGCCCAACACGATGCGGATGACCAGGGTGAGGGTGAATATAGGACCACCATTGGTGTGGATCTTGTGAGGCTGGACCCCCACAAATCAGCTGGTCCAGTTAGATTGCACCCAAGAGTGCTGAAGGAACTGGCAGACATTATAGCGCAGCCACTGGTGAGGATATTCAAGAACTCATGGCACTCAGGCAAAGTACCTGAAGATTAGAAGAGGGCCAATGTGGTGCCCATCTTCAAGAAAGGGGGGAAAGAAGACCTGGGAAACTACAGGCCAATCAGTTTGACCTCAATCCCTGGGAAGATTTTGGAAAAAATTATCAAAGAAACCATTCTTGACAGGCTAACAGAAGGCAACATCCTGAGGGACAGCCAGCATGGGTTTGCTGTGGGTAGGTCTTGCCTGACAATCTCATTTCCATCTATGACCAGGTGACATGTCAACCTTTTCCCCTTTGTCCAGGTGATATCAAATATTTGGACTTTAAAAAAGCCTTTGACCTGGTGTCCCATGATGTCCTCAGGGAAAAATTAGACAACTGCGGCCTCGACTACTCCACAGTCCGATGACTAGGGAACTGGCTCCGAGGTCGGACCCATAGAGTGGTAGTTGACGGAACTGAATCAACACGGCACTCAGTGACTAGTGGCATCCCCCACGGCTCCGTCCTCAGACTTGTACTCTTTAATGTCTTCATAAATGATCTGGACACTGGTGTCAAAAGCGGACTGACTAAGTTTGCTGATGACGCCAAACTTTGGGGAAGAGTGTCCACACTTGAGGATAGGCTGATGATCCCGGCTGACCTCAATAGGCTTGCCAGGGGGGCAGATGCTTGCAAGGTGGGCAGATGAAAACCTGATGCCATTCAATACAGAGAAATACAAAGTGCTCCACCTCGGGAAGAAAAACCCACATCACGTTTATAGGCTCAGCAGTGCTACACTCACCAGCACCACAACCAAAAGAGACTTGGGGATCATGATTGGAACAGACTCCTCCCAGAGGTGGTTCAAGCACCTACTCTGGACACCTTCAAGAAACATTTGGACACTTATCTTGCTGGGATCCTTTGACCCTAGCTGACTTCCTGTCTCTTGGGCGGGGGGCTGGACCTGATGATCTTACAAGGTCCCTTCCAGCCCTAATGTCTATGAAATCTATATGAGCAGACTGAGAAGGCAAAAGGAGATCAAGTTGCCAAGAAACTGCTGAATACAGAAGCACCAGGTGTTAGGAGAATGGGGAAGACTCAAGTGCAGATGGCTGGATCAAATGAAGGGGAATATATCACTATGAAATTGGTGAGAGGCCTGATCACCAGGGATCCTGGTTCTCTGTGATTTAAAGAATCCCCAAATTTTGGTTTAAAAAAAAGTAACCCCAAATCACAATTTTCCATGATTTAAACGAAATACCACTAATATACAGATACTAGCCAATTGCCCATCAAAAATGAAGGG